AAATCAGTTTTATACATGTTTCCACATTTTTTGTTTATTGTTACAAYAAAGATGTTGTCTGAATATAATTCTAGGAAGAAAGTAAACCAGTGAATTTTAAGTCAAAGCTTAAAACTCTGTCTGTCATGTGGTTGATCACATGATCTGTTTTGTAACATGGTTTCAACTTGTTAAATAATGTGTTGAATCATTTTATATGTTGAGAGTGTGTGAATTTTTTAACTTTGCTTCATATTCTGTGCTAAACCTGAATAGGATCGTGTAGTCATTACAATAATTAATAAGTCAGTTAGTCAGTTAATTCTACTGTTATATTATTTATATACTAGCTGTCTGCAACACCAAAAGAAGACAAAAATACGCCAGCAGCAGCAGCAGCAACAACAACAGCATCTAACGCTACAACAACAACTCCGACTACAGTTACGACAACCATTGCAAAGACAAGTGTGATACCTAAAGTGGAGCAAATTATTACATCTACTACTCCATTGACAGCAAGTACTTTAAAAACAATTCCTAAGCTAAATCCAGGTGCYTTGTCTATGCTTAAGGCTAAAATATTTCAAGTGAACAATCCTGGAGGTTTAGGGAAAACTAACTTAGTGACACAGATAGGAAACAAGCCTGTGTCAGCTTTGATACTAGCTACAAAAACTCCTACAAGTCCTAGTGCTAATAGTAGCTCTTCRTTACCYCTTAAGTCACCAACATCAATAACCACAACCAAACCAACTCTGACAGCTATAAAAACTGAAACAACAGCAAGCACAAAACCTCTAGTTACTATGGCAACTACTTCAACAATATCCATGGTAACCAGTGCTCCTAAACCAGTTGATATAAATACAGTTTCATCAGTGGAGAGTAGAGGTGCAGTCACCAAAGTGGAGAGTACTGTTGATAAAAGACCCGGGCACATGAGTGGTTTGTTGACAAGCAGTATTTCACAACAACAACAGCAACAGCAACAGCAACAACTCCAACACCACCAACAGCAAGCCCAACAAAAACAGCAGTACCTTCACCAAGCTCAGCAACACCATCACCAACAATTCCAGCAACAGCAGCAGAAACAACAGTGGCAACAACAACAACAACAACAACAACAACAACAGCAGCAGCAGCACCAACAACAACATCACCAACATCATCAACAACAACAGGCACCACCACCCCAACAACAACAGCAACACCAAAATCAACATGAACAAGAACATCCACAGCAAATAAAAAGTCCTGTKAACTCTCTTGGTCAACTAAGTAGTACTTCACCACATTTCCACCAACAAACTATGCAAAATACTGGCATGAAATCGTCATATCATCAGTCAGCGGTCACATCGTCAGTAAAAACACCTCCYACACAACCCATGAATCCAGTCATCAAGAATCAACCAGTAACAATTTTGGATTTTGCTGATATGATGTCAAATGAGTCRTCTGACGATCCTCAGGAGATGCTGAACAACCAAATAGCACAACCAACAAGATATGCTGATAAATCACCATCRCCACAGAAACCAAAAGAACCATCTTTACCACCTAAAGGAAGYACCAATGTGATGTCACCACAACGACAGCAAACAAACACTGTTTACACRTCGCCACCAAACATAATGAGATCACCAAGTCAAATGACGCAGGCAAGAAACAATATGCAGCAGTCAAATGCTGCTTTAGCTAACATGTTGTTAGGAATGGGATCAACAAGTATGCAAAACAAGTTCATTGATTTAAATGCAGCATCCATGATGGCTCAACAACGACAACAAGCTGCCAACACCAAMACYATATTGGATTCAATTACTTCACCTTCTAGAATGTATGTTTTAGTGATGAATTGTTCTTTTTAGTGTTCATAATGTTTAGATCATTATAAGATGTGATAGATAGATTGTTAGATGTAATTGTAGGACTACAAGGAAGGGAAATATGTCATGTGGGGTGCATAATAAGTGAATATTAATGAGTGTTACTTTTTAAGCATGCTCTTGACAGACATGTGCTTTTACACTGTGCAATTTTATCATATCTCAATGCCTTACACATTGTATCATAACCCCACTAGGAACATTTCCCATTATTGGCGAGTTACGTAATGCGCACGAATAATCCCCTAAGCTGTAGACACAAAGGTCTGTTGTATAGATTCTGGCTCCTAGGTCACATCACAAAAAAAGTATTGCAAGTTGCCTGGGAAAATTGCAGAATTTGACAAGGGCTGTCATTTTCTCAGCGACTTGTTATAGAATTGGCCTTGCAAGAGAGTTGATAAAAAAATTGCACCATGTAAAGGCTGATTTACACAACACGATTGTCTCGTGCAACTTGTAGTATACGACTTGAATCGCGCAGTGTAAATGTCCCTACGACTTGTCTACAACAGTCATGCGCAACCTACGACTTGTAGTAGGATTTTGAACCACTGGTTTTGAACCTACGACTTGTAGTAGGAAAATCGTATACTACAAGTCGAGCGCGACAAATCATACCGTGTAAATCAGCCTTAAGAGTTACCTTGTTTTATCTCTTTGATGGTGAAACAACTTTTCTCAGTTTTAGTTTTTGCTAGTATTTATGTATTCTCTTTATTCCAGGAATATGGATATCCATTCATCATCGGTACCACTATCACATCCAATGATCTCACCTCAACTTACCAACCCGACACCATCYGTCAGCTCATTCATGCCAAACAGCCTACAGCAACCAACACTGTCAATGTTAGGTCACACTAATCTTCCTGTCAAAAATACAAACCCATTGAGTCACCTTGGAATGGTCGCTGACCCTGTATCATCGTCATTGATGCATATCAACAGACCGATGCAACAGCAACAGGTTCAACAGAGTGGCATGGTAATGCCRCCAAATCCTTTCAATCAAGGTATGGTTGTATTGTGTGGTTAATCTCTGCTTAGATTCTTGACTAAACATCTCTTTATAAATCTCAATGTATGATGTGTCAATGTTTGCAATAAAAATCAAAAATGCATGTGAAGTGAGTTAAAAATTGAAATAATTTCATGTGAAAGTTCTTTATAGCTGATTCTTGTTTTACTTTAAAATCGACACTTGCTCCATTTTCATTTTTGGTTTTTAAATTYCTTCTTGACTTGATGCTTATTTAGTAAAAATAAGAAAAATCATTAAAAAATTATAATCATTCAATACTTTGAAACATTCATATTCAGGAGCGTATCCAGGGGGCTACAGGGTGCCTGTGACTCTCCTTTCAAAGCCAAAAAAGCAGAAAAACCAGTTTTGATATGACATCATATTGACATCATATGATGTCATGGCGACAATTTGGTATAAGGACTCCCTCCCATGAAAATCCTGGATACGCCCCTGTCATATGTTGTAAAACAAATGATCCATTTAAGTCACATCTAAGATTTTGTTAAAACTATTATCTAATAATAACTGCATTGAAATATGTGTAATAAAGTAAAATTATCAACCTTGATTTTAAAATTTGATTTTAATTGGTAAGCATTGTATTAATTGAATAATTAAAAATATGAATATGATTCAAGCATATTATTAAATATTAAACACATTTGACTAATAAACACTGGCTAACAGTCCTTGTAGGGTATAATATTCCCAGTAGCCAGGCAAATACAACTCTACAGATGTCACAATCATCACTGATGAGCAATCAAAATATTTTTCAAGGTATTTACATTTATTAAGAATAATATAAAATTTCACAAGGTATAACATGTCAAGGATACATCCAGGACTCATCATTTTGTCCTCATTAAAAATATACGGAGAAAGGAGAACATTGTCTCAAATCTTCTCACTTCATCAACAAAGTAACTTATGCACTGTAAAATAATAAAATATTAGAGTACTGATAAAAAAATTTCTTTTTACTTTGATGAAAAATAGTCAGTTGTTTATCATTTYATGGTGTATAATGTATTTATGTTAATCACAAGGCAAATGTCAGCACATCCAGTTGGTAATTAGCACTATAAGCCCCATTCTTACTAGTTGAAGTAATCTTTTCCTAGATTATAAACTCTAAAATGATTATAAACTAGTTTAAACTGTTGAATTTTGTACACTGGAAAAGGTAACTACTGTAAGCTCATCTGGTATTTTTTCACAGTCTAAATATTGGCTCATGTTGAATCCTGAAAAACTTCAATGCAGATTGCTYTAATGCTTCTGCTCGTTAACACCTTATTTGCACTGGATTTAGCAAATCAGCATTTAGTTGAAGGCAGTTAAAAATATCCTTGGTTTCATTAGCTTCCAGTCCCTTTTCATATCAATAGAACACAGGAACCCCATTCTAAATTACATGCTAATGTTTACTTTATGTATTTTTTTGATTTCAGATCCTAACCATAATCCATCTGCCGCGCATCCACCGTYGCCCTTCATGCCTAGGTTTTCTTGACATTCTAGCTTCTTGTATACTAATTTGTACATTCTAATATTTGAATACAGTTTGATCTGGTGCTAAACTCATGCATACATTATACAAAAATATCAATAATTTGAAGCAATTTCATTGATATAAAGATGTAGAACAAATGAGTTTTTTTGGGGTAAACAAATAGCACAAATATTTTGATGTGTTTGACTGACCAATCCAATTGAAGTATTTTTTCAAAACTTTACAGAAAACTGATTTTTGTCCTCATTGGAGTTTCAATATGATTTGCATGTACAATTTATTGGTATGTTTGAGGTGGGTTTGAATAAGATAAAACAAATTCCTACACATACAGTACTCTATTTGTACAGAATTATTCGGGGTTACTTAACCATTAATATTATTTTGATTTCAGTTTTGAAATGAAATTATGTAATTTATTCATTTAGAATAARTCATCTCTTTTATTCCCTTAATTTAGCCAAATCAATATAAAATTTAGTAGTTAGTTGTCTGGTATTTGTGGTGGCCAGTGTTTTTCAATTGATTATTTAATATTATGAGTATGCGATGTATTTTACTACTTGCTTAAGATGATAATATCTAGTTTATGTAAACAAGAGTGACCATTAATATAATTACTGCATTATTTTCTGTGTATTTCCTTACTTTTGCTTCCATTGTTATGCAAGCAATCACGACAAAAGTCACAATGGCAACTATTGTCAATGTCATACTGCAAGGCGGGTTAAAAAATGCCTCAATAGKTTTCGTCAAAGGCTATCTATTCCAGTTACATCTGTCTAGTCTGGTTGCATAATAATGTTTAAGACAGTAATTTGGTAATATATACAATCTATTGCTSAAATTTCTTTAATTCAGTTCATTAYCGRCAGTAAAAATATTGTAGTAGATGCACTTAATCTGTGAAGCAAATAGTACTAATTACTTACTGAAAATAGTATGGATTAGACCATAGAAAACAAAGGAATTAGCATAATTTCATATTATTTTGTTCTGTTTAAGTTTCACTGATTACATGCATTAGCTCTACTTAGAACACCTTTGTAATTCCTTGCAGTTGAACATGTACTTTTAGACTTGCACAAATATGAACCTTTGCATTTTAACAGTTATCTACAATATTGTACAGCCTTTTGCAAAAATTATGAGAATTGCTGAAATATCTAAATATCATAATATCAAGTGCATGATCCCGCGCGATGCCCTTAGTCTCTTGTCTTTGTTGTTTAGTTTTTTTTTGCGACGGACTTATCCGTAGTTCTGAACATTTTCTTGATGTCAACAATGAATTATTCTAGCAAACCCGCGTGTTCCGGACAATGTGTGGATATGGATATTATGATATTTAGATATTTAGACAATTCTCATAATTTTTGCAAAAGGCTGTAATGCATGTTATATATATATATATATATGTGTCAAGGGCGGATCCAGGGGGAGGATCCCGGGGGTCAGGACCCCCCTGACTTATCAATTAAAAAAAAGTTATTACGGGCAATAATTCTTTTTGACGTGAAAGAATTCTGGTAAATGTCACTAATTGTCAAAATTATTATATATTTTAGTAAACTAATTGAAAACTCGATCGTCGAACCCGGCTTTTATATTTCTATTTGTTTGGGTTTCCTGTTTATTAAAGTCACGTGACCAGGTTAGCGCGCGCGTATGCAGAGTTGGCGGGAAACAGCCAGATAGTCAAACCGCGCGGGAAGCCTACGTCATTTTTTTCCGGACCCCCACCCTTAAAAAATCCTGGATCCGCCCTTGTGTGTGTACCATGCATGTGATTATTTTGTAGAGTTCGTCATAGTAACACCAATGAACTGCACCAATCTCTAGACTTTGAACTTGCTGTAAATAAACCTCAGAATTTTATTTTTGTAATAGTTAAAGAAAGTCAGCTTAAATCTCCAATGGGCTGCCATCTCAAACTTTACTTGGCATATATTTTGCACTAAAAAAATACTTCTTATTTTACTTATTAGGATGTTTAAATTAGTGCAGTATTTCCASATGCCTTGTTGAGATGGTTATACACCATTCAATATTGTATTTAGTACAAATCATTGTGCACTATTATCTTCATCTTGCCTTGGTACAACACATCATACAAATCTAACTTATTTTTGCTTCAATATATATGTAGTTACTATAGCAACCATAATAAATAACAAGTCTTTGATATCWTATTAATATTGATATGTCACATTGTATGTGCATGACCAGATTTGCAAAAAAGCTTATTCTTCTTGTATGTCATATTTCAATAAAATCTTCTGTAAGCAAAAGTGTTTTGTACTTTATATTCTGCACATTTTTGATGTTCATTTTCTAACTGGGGTACGGTCCCCCAAAAATAATGAAATCATAATAATACTCCATTTTGGAGGTTCTGAATCTATGTATCAAAGTGAGACTGGAGTTGAGCTTGCAATGACAGACTTCTGTGAATAATAGTCTCCTTCACGGTTACCAGCGCCATCTTGAAAGATAGCCGTGCCTTTACATCGAAGCGAGACAACCATTGAGCATGCAATGATAGATAACTGTGAATAATTGTCTGTAGGTGTGAAAAAAGGTTTCCATCATTGCACGCTCAATGGTCGTCTCGCTTCGATGCAAAGGCACGGCTACCTTTCAAGATGGCGCAGGTAACCGTGAAGAAGACTATTGTCTTAGATGCAAACATTAAAAGGTATCTATCACTGCAGGCTCAACTCCTGTCTTCTTTGGATGCTAAAGCTTGGTTACTTCTCAAGCTCCTGTTGCTGGCAAATGGAATTGTAAGTTAGAGTATTGAAAMGTACTTCCTCAGTCCAAGCAGTCACCCTCAAATTAAATACTAGATACAGTCAACTCCTACCTTAAGGAAACCATTATATTACGAACACCCTGGTATTACTGATTATAAGAAATTAAATTGCTGAAAATAACTCTCTTAAAAGTGGATACTATTCTTGGTGTGCAAGTTACGTCATCGCCGCCATGTAGGATGAAAATCACAAAGCATTCCTCATTAGTTTCTCTTGTTCATTCATCCAAAATGGTGGCAACAGCTTTGTTCTATACTTCTCGGGGGATTCTTGGTCACGTGGTTGCACACCAAGAATTGCAAACACTTAATAAGAGTCCTGAAGTTGTTTTTTTTTAGAGTGCACCCCACATAAGCATGAAACAATTCTTAAGTAATTAGCGCCTAATAAGATTTAGTTATCAACTAACTAAGAATTTAGTGAGGCATAAAAAAAGACAAGTTTCCTTTCTGGCATTGTGTTCATGCCCCAGTGAATTCTTAGTTAGTTGATAACTAAATCTTATTWGATGTTGATAGTTAAGAATTGTTTCATGCTTTTTTGCCGTGCACTCTATACACACCAAGTACTACAAAGTATTACTTGCTAATTATTAGTTCGTCTTTCATAGGTTAAATGAAAAACTTTTAATTTGATTTTGTATGTTTACAGTACAAAACCTACTAGTAATTCATTTCAAATTTCAACTTGATTTGTCTCGTTTGTCGTCTTTTGACTCTTTGTATAATGTTCCAGCCATTATTGCACCACATATCCACAGACCCAGCCATTTATTAGACTTAAACTTCTTTAGACAGTCATTAGGGTTGTTGAGATCTACAGCAGCAACCTAAGAAAAGAGATGTATGCGACTCTCATTAAAAAAGGTTGTTAATTAAAAACAAAACAAACACCAACCAACCTGCCAAGCTAAGTGCGTAGCTGTTAAACCCATTCCTACATAGAATGGCCAAGTCTGGTCAGCAGCTAATCCTGCCAGGACTAGATTAGTAACCATGGCAACACTAAATAGTGACAGCCAAGGTTTTGTGTTATCACCAAACAGCAGAGCTGTTGATTTTACTCCAATCTGAATGTCATCCTCTTTGTCCTTAAACATACAATAAAAAATGTGAGCAGTTCATCTTAGATGAAGGACCTGAGACCTCAATGGTGATGAAAATCAAGGCCAAGCAGTCTTTGAATACTTGTGGTTGAAACCTGAGACTGAGTTTAAAAATCAAGATACGGAAATATTCAAAATCAGTTTGTGAATCATTTAACAACATTTTAAAGGTACAATGATTTCTCCAACTGTCATATTGTTGGAATGGACTTGTATCAGCTTCAAAAATAATTTCCAATACCYGGTACTCCATTTTCGAATTCTAAGTGAATAACCACTGTTTTATTTGACAGCAGATTCTCTTACAAAAAGACCTTTTACCAAACACAAAAGAAAGCAAGAGAACATTATGGGAATACAGGGTTAGTCTGAACTTGGGGAAAATGCAAATTTTCAYGGCTATTGTAATAACATTTTCTTGTGCTTGCTTCTCTTCTTGTGCTGACTTTCTTTTGTGTTTGGTCAGGTCTTTGCACAAGAGAATCTGTTGTAAAATAAAGCAGAGGTTTCTTACTATGAATTTGAAATGAAGTATTAATTATGTTAAGGAAAACCATGAGTAAAGGGTAGATTTTTAAACCACCATAATTATGAATTTTGACAATAATGACTTACAAACCTGGTGGGCATATATAGTATCATATACCATTGTCCAGAAGAAGCCGCCAGCATAAAGAGGTAAGCAAACTGACCAATCACAGCTCCCCTTTACAGCTGACCAACCAACTAAAGCACCCCAGTTGAATGTCAAACCTTCAATGACATGAAGTAACAGTTGATCACTGCATTTACAACCTTACAAACACATTTTTATATGGAGAAAGAGGGCATTTTTAAAAAGACAAAACAATGGTGAATGGAAGCAGAAAAAAGTAGGAAATATTTTGTTCCGCTCTCTTAAATACCAGGCGGTGCAAAGTCGGACCATTCRCACAAGGATTCATCCATTGAGCTGATCGCTTATTTTGTTGCCATGTTCACACTTTCCTGCATACTTTGTTAACRAACAAAATAATAATAAAACTTCAAATAAAATGTTACCCCCACCTAAAACAACTTGTGGCCAATAGGTGATTCTTTTCATTAATGGATATGTTATAACTAAACCCATGGATGAAGCTCCAAGGACAATGCTAAAAATAAACAAATACAAAACATTGAATAACATCAGTGTATGAAAAATGAATTGAAATGATGTCAGCAGTGTAAGGTTACAGCCTACACTGTACCTAGATAAATGAGAAAAAGAAATTATATTCATGTCTCATCTGTATGAGTATATGCACTGTACCTATAGTTGTATAAACAGAGAAGAACTGCAAGGCCACAGCTTAGCTGAGCTCCAAGAAAAACCAAAGCTTGAAAATGACTTATTTGACCTGAAGCAATTGGTCTTGTTCTTGTTCTAGCAACCTAACAGAACGAATATTGGAAAACATGATCACACATTAGAGAGATTCGTCCCATCTCATTGATCATCGTATCCTGAGACATGAGGCCAAAGGTGCATTCAGCACTCATTAAAGAGTTCAGCTTGCTAAATACCCATTGTGGGTTTTGATGGAGGCAAAACTATATGGGGGTTTAGATAACGGTTCGGTATAATGATATATATACCAAAACATTTTAAGCCGTTAACTTTAACGGCCGATTTTGTTCGTTCGGTATAATGTAATAATATTATTATACTATCATCTTTACCTAACAAGTTAATGGCTTAAAATGTTTTGTTATATATATTAAGATAATCACTTATTTAGCYGTTATATGTAGTCCCAAAACTATATTGCAGGAGGGGGGAGGGAGGTTTCATATTATCCAACACTTCCTATGAATTTAATTTATATGTCATAAACACAGAAATTTATTTGTTCCTTTTGTCAATTGGACTCTCACAAACCAACCAATACTGTAATACCTTTTTATCAAAATCAGAATCCCACATATCATTGATGGTACAGCCTGCACCCCTCATTACCAACGCACCAACACCAAATAGTGTCAGAAGCTTTAGRTCAGGTATCAAMCCTGGRTCTGCRGCCATTGAAATACTCCATGTACAAGGCAAATATAGTAACCATGTTCCTATTGGTCTRTCAAACCTAATAAGTTTCAAGTAGGGCTGGATAATTTCAGGRCAAGATTCCACGACAGAAGCTGTGTTTAAACGTGGATATGTTTTATTTGAGTCGTAATGATTTCCACGTTCTTTAGTTCTGTTATTAAAAGAAACTAAGTGCCTGTTTTCGTAGTGTCTTGTTTTTAAAAATAATTGGTTTTGACTTCTGTTCACTAGACGTAGAGCTGAACTCGTAGTTCGAAGTAACCTCAGCTGATACTTTGAAGCATGACCATCAATTCTGAAGCACTTTAGTCTTGAAGTGAAGAAGATACATTTTCTCGCAATTACTGATTGTGTTTTCGTCGCAAACATCCTACAATACGAGCAATATCATGGATTTATAGAACAGCATTTCCAGTGCGACGTCCGCCATTTTATGCTTAGTGACCAGGCCTATAACCCAAAAGCTTGGCTACCAAGGCCTAAACAAACAAATGGAAAATGGAAAGAGATGAAGAAAGGTCATGATTTAAAAAGTGTGACTAATATAGAATCCAAACATAAGAAAGAACGGGGGAAGGAGTAAGATGACTTCTCCAGTTTAAAAATCTGGAGCTGTCAGTTTTGTCTGATTTCATTTGAATTTTGAGATATTTGGGTGGGTTTCGAAATGTAGATAAAATGTATATYCTTACACTAGGGTATGAGACATGGATATCCTCGACTATGCGAGGGAGGCTTAGATGGGACATCATGAGGAAATAAAAGAAAAAGAAAGAAAAGTACAGGGACTGCAGCTCTCCTCCTCCCTTCTCATGATTTATTGTAGCCTGCGTGCAAGCTCCGCCCCCAAGGAGGAACACCCGCACGCCGGCTAGTAGATTTATTGTATTGTCTTTGTTTTTTAGTAAGTATTGTTTCAAAATAAGCAGTAAAGACATATTTTTTTATTAAAACATTAAAATCTACGCTCTCTTTTACATTTACATATTAATTTATTATCGACCTAGTAATACTTATTTTTTCACATCATGTATAGAAATCTTTTAAAGGTAATTCCTATTACAGTAAATATATAGTGTCAGTTTATCCATCGACTGCATGCGTTTTAACTTTTTATATAGTTCCTCTATAAATAATGTCTTTCTATTTTTTAATCTTTGTATAATGTTCCAGCCATTATTGCACCAAAAATCCACAGACCCAGCCATTTATTAGACTTAAATGTCTTTAGACAGTCATCAGGATTGTTGATATCCACAGAACCAACCTAAGAAAAGAGATGTATGTGAACCTAATTAGAAATTAGTTGATGATAATAAAACATAAACACCAGCCAACCTGCCAAGCTAAGTGTGTAGCTGTTAAACCCATTCCTACATAGTATGGCCATGACTGATCAGCAGCTAATCCTGCCAGGACTAGATTAGAAACCATGGCAACACTAAATAGTGAAAGCCAAGGTTTTGTCTTATCACCAAAAAGTAGAGCTGTTGATTTTACACCAACTTGAATGTCATCCTTCTTGTCCTTAGARAGATATTGAAAAATAAGAAATAATCTAGTAATGGAAGGTAGCATTAACTAAAATGAAACTAAAATGAAATAAAATTACAGAGATATTATCTTCTGTGGTATGTTGGCAAGCCTCCTGTGAATATAATAATATACTATGTTATAAGTTTTGCTGATATCACATATAGCCTACTAACCTGGTGGGCATATATAGTGTCATATATCATTGTCCAAAATATGCCGCCAGCATAAAGAGGTAGACAAACAGACCAATCACAGCTTCCTTGTACAGCTGACCAACCGAGAAGGATGCCCCAATTCATGAGTAGACCTAAAATACAAAGAAAATATGATATATCTTGGATACTATACCGCTGCGACTCTCTCTGTCATCCTTTGTTGATACCTAACAGTGATTTCAACTCAACCTTGCCTTAATTGCTCTAACAATTCTAAAGATGATGGAAGATCACACATCTTAGATAATCACACATCTTAGATAATGGAAAATGTGACTGTAACTTTATACAAGATGGTAGTAATATTTTGTGTTCTACCTCATGACCTACATGTATTCAAACTGGAGAGCCAACTAGTTTACCTTTTTTATCATCTATTATGTGTTTGCATGCTGTTGCATTAAGATCAGGATTTTCCTGTTTCTTTCTATACTGTGTTGATAATCTGCCTTATACTTGATGCCACTAAGTTTTTTCCTGTAGACTACCTGTATTGTACATTGTAAATCATACAAAAGAGACATAAATTTCAATCTGAATAAACACAGATAAAGGAGCAAATGACACAATAGTGCTTATCATTACACTTTTACTAAATGTTTTATGTCCAAATCAAATGTAAACATTTCTAAGTAGATASCATAAAAATTGCTTGGCACAAATCCAAATCAARGAGGTAGCACAGAAGGGTATGCACCTGGCTCAGTGGACTAATGATGTCATTACTTTTACCTAAAAATACTTGTGGCCAGTAAGTAACTCTTTTCATTAATGGGTATGTCACCACCAAAGCCATGGAGGAAGCTCCAAGAATGATGCTGAGATAAAACAGAAAACATAAAATCATCACCTCTTATAATTATTTCATTTGAGACTACACCATTAGCTTTATACCTGTAGTTATTTAGACTGAGAAGAACTGCAAGACCACACGTTAACTGAGCTCCAAGAAAAACCAAAGCTTGAAAATGACTTATTTGTCCATTTGGTATTGGTCTTGTTCTTGTTCTAGAAACCTAACAGAAAATGTAGTCTTAAAACKGCAGTTCTTGCATATCATTTCCAAATTTTGAATGTCATTTCTTCCTTCAATATTYTTAACTAGGATCCTGAGCAGGATACTGCTTAGGAATAGGATCCTAAACAGGATCCTGACAAGATCCTGTAGGATCTTTTTTAAAATAGGATCTTATACAGGAGCCTGACAATCGGTTAGGATTATTAGGATCCTAGCCAGGATTTGCACCAGGGGCTGTGCTATCTAAAAATGCCCAGTACGCTTACATGATAATGAAAGATGAATATTATGTGAACAAAGGTTTGTGTTTGTATTTGACTGATAACCCCAATACCAGGAGAGTGATTTCCAAACAATATGTTTGAACATTACCTTTTTATCCAGATCASAATCCCACATATCATTGATGGTACAGGATGCACCCCTCATAATAAACGCACCAACACCAAATAGTGTCAGAAGCTTTAGATCAGGTATCAACCCTGGTTCTGCRGCCATTGTAATACTCCATGTACAAGGCAAATATAGTAACCATGTTCCTATTGGTCTGTCAAACCTAATAAGTTTCAAGTAGGGCTGGATAATATCAGGGCAAGATTCCACAACAGAAGCTGTGTTTATACCACGGTACAATGCTTTATGCAGGTCGTGACGATTTCTATGTTTAGTTCTATTGTCCATCGATGTCAAATGTCTGTTTTGAGAATGTGTTTCGACCAAAGATTKTTTTCTTGAAGCTGTCGTCCATAGTTGTTGATTATTTTTTGACGTTTGACCATCGACTATCAAATAACTTGACCTTAAGGATAAAGCAACGCTTCTCCTCGCAAACAATGTAGCCGCAAGCATAGTAATTTGCGTTCTCTACTTGAAGAGAAATAAAGATAATCATCTGTCAGTATCATTTTGTCGCCATTTTTGTTCTTTTGTAACCAGGTCTAAGTTTTGCGGCTTGGCTACCAAGTAATAAATAAGATTCAACCAATCAGATGCTTAGAAAAAAGGCGCGCAGATTCCAAACAACATGGCAGATCAAGTCGTCAAAGAAGAGAAACTTCAAGACAAATTAAATGATTTAGGGACTTCCTTAGGCTGGTTTGAAGACTCAATAGATGTTGTAATCAGTCAGGTGAGACGTAGTGTAGCGATTYGTTATAATTAGCATTCTAAAGCTAAAGTATTTTCAGCCGGTATTTTTAAACACTTCTCAAAATGCAGACATTCGATTTTCTACGAGAAGATATTTTCCACATATTATGCTTAAAGACAAAATTTAAACGGGATTAGTTACGTTTTGAACTGCTTTAGTTTTTGGCTAGTTTGGCAGCGCGTCAGCGACTTCTGACTCTGGAAAATCCCGGAAAATGTACCCAAATCGATATAAAAAACTAAAGAATGTTGCTGTAGGCTTGTGTTTCTTCATAGATAACAAAATTAGTTATTGAGATTTATGTCTTCTCATTTTACAGACGGAAAAAGAGATTCAAGCGTCTTGTATTGAGAAAAGAACTTGTCAGTCCGATGCAGATSACATCGACAATGATCAAATTTGTGACAGTGACAATGCATTAAGATTTGATAGTAGCATTTCACCATTAAGACCAACAAGCAGTACAGACTATGGTTCATGCGTAAGAAACGGTGATACTGAAAAACAAAGTAACAATGATCTTTCAAGTAATAGTCCTTATAATAGAGTTTATCTACTGGATGATGAGGATGACAAGGAAAAGATTAAACATCATGATGACATCATCACACAAGAAACAAATCMTGCCAGTCAATCACCAACTCATYCATCTGAGAATGACGTCAGCTATGAACTATACCAATCTTTAACTGAAGTCCAGGAAGAMAAAGACCAGAACCAACARGTTGTTGTATCAGATGATGAAAGTCAAGATGARAGCTATCACTCTTTCACAGAAAATGATGATCAACAAGCTCAAGTGAGCATTACTAATAAAGAAATTAATATTTCATCAGAGAATWGTACTAATAATCAGTCTATTACGGATAATAACTATCAAGGAAATGATGATSATAGTGCTAGTAATTCATTATATGGCAGTAATACCAGCAATCAGCTTTACCAACCTTTGACAGACAACAATGACATCAATAATGTAAGCAGTGAACTGTATAACATTAGCAACAGTAACAATGATCAACAAGCTCAATCATTGGATGATCATGAGACGCCTTCTTATAATAACAGCTCATTGGCAGCACAACAAAAAAGGTATCTGAATATAAGCTCAGTTTCACTTTTATTGTGTTTCTTGTTTTGGTGTTGTTGCTGTTTAATTGTTTTTTGTTGTTGTTGCTGTTTTGACTTGCAGGTTATAATAACCACTTGTTAATCAAGCTTTTTTAAAAGTGGATGATATTTTACTGTGTCCAATACCATTATTATCTATTWGTTGTTTCATTGATGGAAAAAGGGTTTTACAGATGAAGTACAATCCTGAGGAAAGCCCAGGCTGTGATGACTTTGAATCTTGTAAGTTCTGGTGTAGTAGGTTTGCAAAACTTGGTTCATGATCAAGAATAAAATTTATAGCTGAAATATTGAACAAGATACTTATCAAAGTAATTTTTCACATCATGGAAGTCATGCTAAAGTATCATGATGTTTTTACTGGAAACTGTTAGTCTTATATCACTAGTAGCTATTAGTACTGTGTGATGTCCCATCATGCTTTCTAGATATAACAATATTGACTAAAATGGTCTGGGAATTCCATGCAAAACTTTTGTGTAAATGAGGATGTTTCTGTATTTTAAAGTGTATATTGTTCGTAATTCTTCCATGACATAGTTAATAATTAATGTACATATGTATATTAATGAATGATATCAGTATTATTTTGTGTTTTACTGGTGAAGTTCAATAATGAAATACTATGAATTGATTCAGTTTTAGACAGCGTTAGGACACCCAAACAGCCCCAGTGGAAGGATTGTCCAGAGTAAGTAAATTTACACACTACAATGTTTGAGATAATAATGATAACAAGTTTTAATTAAATCAAGAGAAAGAAATCTGCTACAACAAACACTAAAAAAAATATTTGATAGTTCATAATAAATACTTTGATTTTTTTTTGTTATTTGTAATAACAATTAATTCATGTATTACAGGTTGGACAATGATGATGTACAAGATTTTATTGTTGATGATGATTGCTTTGTCGAAGAAGAAGAAAATGATTTTGAGGATGTTTTTGTGATTGATGATGACAGCGATGATGATAAAGAGAACTTCAAAACTCCACTGACATTTACAACACCAGGACTGGAACAAGGCAAGTCTCTTATAACCTGACATTGATTGCTTTACAGGCGCTTACATGTAGCCAGGGGAGAGGGGGAGGGGGGAATGGATGATTGATTGCTTAAGCTTAAAAAGGTCCGGTGTTTCCATTTTTTATAGTTCTTTTTAAATTTTTTTTAGTTATGAACTGCTCATTAGTAGCAGCCAGTTCTTACACACTATATTTGTATATGAAAAGACGAGCCCCCCCCTCCCCACCACTTGTAAGGCAGCCTACTGTTTTTTGCTTGGTTCATTGCTAACTCTGTCATGCTGTTTTTTGTTATTTTTATTTAAAAAGTCTTAAGCCATAATAGTGCATACTATCCATTCCTTTCATTCCATTTCACATTTTATTTTCATTTATTCATGTATTTCTGTTGTTTATGCAGCCACTAAATGTGTTGAAACGTTTAAAACTCCCTGGACAGAATACAAACCTAAACCAGGTAATGTTAACAGTGCGATCAAATATATTGTGAAATCAACTATAATTTAATATCAAAACCATTTTAAAATGTTCATTTTCAGCAAAAGCAACAGGAAACCCTTCTACTGATTCTTTCAAAACACCACTGACTGATATCAAACTGAAGCGAGGTAACAAATGATGATGATGATGATGCTGATTAGTCAGAGTAATACAAACTTAGATTAAATTAAACTGATATTCCATTATGTTTTTAGCAAAACCATTGAGTTCCATTGAATGCATAATCACACCATACTCTACAACTAAAGAATTCAAGAAAAAAAGAGATGTTGTTGTCAAAGAACTGTTTCAGCTTTATAACTCAACCATTTTTGAAAATAAGGTATTAATTTATAGTCAATTGTATATTAGAACAACTGAAACCAGTTATTTTTATAGTCTGCACAATTCCCAATAATTATTTATTCATTTATTCTTTTTTGACATTTTAGTCGACATTTATTAATTCATTTATATTGTTTTTAGTGACAGCAAAAAGCTGCACACATATCATACTATAACACGTATTTTCAAATGTGTAAAGAAAAACTTTGTTTAAAGTGCTACTTGCATGAAAATGGCCTTATTTCAAAACTTCAAGCAATACAAATATATGACTCATTTATATCTATTAAAAACAATTGCGGGAAAATATTTGTTTTGGAATTATCCCACGTCAGAGAAATTTTGATTSAAAAGATGGAAGAACAAAAGGATGGAGTAAATGACGTCATCTACTCCAACATTTTTTGCCCAAATTATTAAGGATTTGTATTAATATCTTCTGAAATCTGTTGCTTCATGATTATTAGACCCATATGGATAGGTCTATTTGATTTCCAAGTCTTTTCTAATGTTTCTCAATTTTCGTCCAAGTAGCCCTTTAACATATCATAAACATAGACCTTTTAACATATCAAACATCTCATTTGTTGATGGTCTTTTGTTTGTGCAGCTACCGTCAGACTTCAGTATAACATGGAATAACAAGATGAGAAGTACAGCAGGATATTGTTATTATGGACGGTAATCTCACTGGTGCAGAATCAATCAATTCTTCATTAGAGTGACATTTTTTTTACTTGTAGAAAAAATGGTGTCAACACTTCACGGATAGAACTTGCTGACAAAGTTATTGACTCTGCAGGTTAGTGTGATTTAAATTTCTTAACAAATTTGGCGTCAAAACGCACCGACAAGAACGCATTACGCAATGCATCATGGTCTAGGTTCGGTACAAATGTCTTTTGTTCCCTGCCGCGACGCATTGTACGATCAGACAACGAAAGTGCGTAAAAGCTATTACCCAGTCGAATCACCTGAATTGAAGTTCCTTTTGGTTTTGAGGATGAAGGGCGGAGGTTTTTGGGTGCTGATCGTTTCGCGGCAAAACGTGTCTCAGGCACACATTATACACCAAACTTCACATGTGCGGACAGACAATTTCGAGGTGTCTGCTGATGTTCGCTGTAATGGGAGTTACTTTCAGTTATTTATCAGGAGCGAGACTTACTTAGTGTCCGTATTAAGGGGTGTCCGTAATTTCGAGGTGTCTGCAATAGCTGATGTTCGCTGTAATGGGAGTTACTTTCAGTTATTTATCAGGAGCGAGACTTACTTAGTGTCCGTATTAA